CACAATGCCGTTCAGAGTTTTAAATCGCAAAGATTTTATGGGCGTTGCTGCTGCACTCGTCACCCTGAGACATAAGTTGACAAAGGAAATGAAACTATTTTTCCGGATTTAAATCGCGTATATTTGTTTTTTCAAACAAACCGACGTTTCGGGCCCTTTACAGGTCCCATGGTCACGGTTGACTGAGGTGGTACAATCTTTAACCAGTTACGTCTAATATTGATGCAAACCACCCTATTTTTTCACTATAGTTACTAATTAAATACCTTATTTTTAATTTTACAAAGAAAACATTCCAATTTATGCTACATTAAGTTTTACAAATTATTTTATTGAATGAATTTTTATTAAGTTCAATTTATTTATTTATAATAATAATAATAATAATAATACTTTTTATTTCTCCACAAAATACAACAACAAATAAGAAGTACATAAACAATCTTAGTAATTTTAGAACAGTATTTTGTAGGAGCTGGTGCTTGCTATAGGTTTAACACCTGTGCTACAAATCACCAGGCCCCAACCCTCGCAAATGAAACATATGTTACTAAGTATACATATATCAACCACAAATTATATGTATGAGAGAAAAAATAAAATAATAAGTTACGGTAACAGAAAAACCTTCGAGATAATTCTTCTATGTGCGCGCGCTGTGTGTGAGTAATTTGGAATACATGTGTGTGTGAGTGTGTGTGTTTGTGTGCGCGCGAGTGTGTTTGGGTGTGTGTGATTTGGATACATGTGTGTGTGTGTGTGTGTGTGTGCATGTAAGTGTGTGTACCAGTAACGGAACATTAACTTTGAGTCAGACTATTGGATGAAGCAACTTTTCAGTATCACCATAATTTAATTTTTGCAACCAGTTTGCCAACCTCTTCTTACATTCGAAATTATTCAAACCAAAAATGTGAAGCTCTCGATGGAGTTAATTGTAAAGAATAATCCAAGGAAGCAGAAAAATCTGTGGCTAAAGGCAGTCCTCAGTCGGTCACAAGAGGCCACTATGCAATTTCGCCTATCAGAGCCACTGACATAAGGTGTAAGGGTGTGTTGGCTCAACACCGTCCAGAGGACAAGAAGTTGACTAACAGTAAGAACTTGACAAAAGTCATAAAGATACATAGTAGGAAAATGGTATGGTTTGAAGCAGGCAATTTTAGAATCTTTGTGCTCGTTCCACGAGAATAAAATGAGTCCTAGCGGCCCCACCCCAGACAGAAATGCAATAAGTAAATAAGCTTTGTCCTAGAGCAAGGTATACCATTTTCATGATGTAGGGGTCTGTCACATGACGGAGAGACTTGAAGACGTAAATGAGCTTCCGAATGCGCGCTGATAATAAATTAATATGCTATCTAAAATTAAGATTTGAGTCAATCTGCGCGCCAAGGTATTTTATACTGTTTGTAATTTCTAAAAAGGTTGTTGATACTGAAACGTGGTTGGAGATGACGACAATTTTGAGTTGTGAGTTATCAGGTATAGTATGGTTGCGGATTGAAAAAGGGACTACTTTTGTTTTTTCTGCATTAAGTGTGAGAAGATTGTCGTTGAATAATAGAAATTAGAATAAACTAAAACATATTAAATAGTACTGCAGTCTTATGTCTATTTGGGATTTTTCATTAGAGGAAATACTGGATCCCAAACTAGTGGTACGGAGAAACCATCTTCCCTGTTGAAATTAGGATGTTTTTTAATTTCAATGGCCTCTCGCAGCATCCTGGGTAGATAACGGACTTCTTTTACAAGGACCTGGGGTTTGTCAAACTTCATTGAATGTGTAGATGTATCCATGACATGCTCGCAGACTGCAGATTTGTTTACGCGACGGTGTTTTTGACATCAGCTATATGTTCTTTGACGCGGGTACAAATACTTCACTTCGTTTGTCCAATATAAGAGAGACCGCACTCACAGTCAAGCTTGTAAACTCCTGCATCCTGTAAGGGGATGTTACATTTCACGTGTCTCAGGGCTCCCCGGTATCTTCCGTAGTTGCCGATATTTTCATGGAAGACTTCGAGGAGCGAGTTTTACCCATGGTCCCAGCTAGGCCGAAGATTTTCAAACGGTACGTTGATGATACTTTCACAATATTACCTAAAGATAGCATACCTTCTTTCCACCATCTTAATTCTTTTAGTACTAAGATCCAATTTACTATGGAACAAGAGAATTGTGGTACTTTAGCTTTCTTAGATGTTTTAATTAAAAGAAATCCTAATAACACCTTACGCCATACTGTATTTCGAAAGAAAACCCATACAGATAGGTATCTCAATGGTAATTCCCATCACCATCCTAGCCAGTTAGCTACCGTGGGCAAATCCTTGTTTCAGAGAGCACATGGTGTCTGCGATAGTAATTATCTGGCAGGGAAACTTCAGCATATAAAGCAAGTCCTACATGCCAATAAGTTGAAGATTCCACGCCAATGACGCAGGCCCCGTGTGAAACCACCAACAGTTGAGCAAAGAGCTGCCATCTTATCTTGTGAGAGGTGTTACAGACAAGATCGGAAGAGTCCTCAATTCCTATTTCAAGCCCCTGAGGAAGATTTCTCACTTCCTGAGACACGTGAAATGTAATATCCCCTTACAGGATGCAGGAGTTTACAAGCGTGACTATGAGTGCGGTCTCTCTTATATTGGACAAACGAAGCGAAGTATTTGTACCCACGTCAAAGAACATATAGCTGATGTCAAATATCGTCGCGTAAACAAATCTGCAGTCTGCGAGCATGTCATGGATAAACCTACACATTCAATGAAGTTTGACAAACCCCAGGTCCTTGCAAAAGAAGTCCGTTATCTACCCAGGATGCTGCGAGAGGTCATTGAAATTAAAAAACATCCTAATTTCAACAGGGAAGATGGTTTCTCCGTACCACCAGTTTGGGATCCAGTATTTCCTCTAATAAAAAATCCCAAGCAGACATAAGACTGCAGTACTAATTAATATGTTTTAATTTATTCTAATTTGTATTGTTAATTAATAATAAATTGAACTTAATAAAAATTCATTCAATAAAACAATTTGTAAAACTTAATGTAGCGTAAATTGGAATGTTTTCTTTGTAAAATTAAAAATAAAGTATTTAATTAATAACTATTGTAACTATAGTGAAATAGGGTGGTTTGCATTACTATTAGACATAACTGGTTGAAGATTGTACCACCTCAGTCGACCGTGACCTGGGGCCTGTAAAGGGCCCGAAACGTCGGTTTGTTTGAAAAAACAAATATATGCGATTTAAATCCAGAAAAATAGTTTCATATCCTATGTGTAACAATCGCGAAAACCTAAGAACTCGATACATAAGTTGACAAGTTCCATGAGCCTATAATTGTGCATGTAGAAACTTATTAAACAACAATTCAAATACAAAATCTCGACCATCGCAGAAAAGTAGCCTGCTTTGCTTCCTCCGTTCTGATGCGTGCGGCAAAGGAATGGAACACTCTACTGTCTGTGTTTCCCGAAACGTACAATTTGGGGCTATTCAAGGCTAGAGTGAATAGGCATTTTTTAGGCAAACGAGTTCCATAGTCGGTCACATCGTTGCTTAACATCAGGTGAGATTGTGGCCAAGCGTGTGTCTATTATATATTTTTTTTAAATTCACCTGACACCTTAAAGGTGTCCTTCTAAACCGGAACGAAGTAATGCTCACATTACTGCTTGGCGGCAGAAATAGGTAAGGTGGCAGTACTTCGCTGGACGAACTCTTTCACAAGGAGCTCTACCACTACTACAGACTCATTTAGGAACAATCCAAATTCCAATGTGTAAAGCGCAGCGTATTGTTGACTGCACTGGTATGATGGAAACAATGGTCAGCTTGAGTTTAGAAACGACATTTTTTTCTAGTGCGTCCCACTGTCAAAATTTGCAGTCATTTTTTTTGCAGTATCTGTAAAAATTTTGGATTGAGGACAATAGTCAATCAATACGTGAAATTCTCGCAATCGGCAAGTGCACATTGTCTAGTTTATTTATCTACCAATGATGTCACGCGTTCTGAATTGACATGTAGTGTAGCAATTTTTTTAAATTACATTTAAACATAGTTGTAGTAACTTGAATAGCTTTATTTAAATAAAATAATATTTTTTTAGCAGTACATATATATCCATTGTGAAAAATTTAAATATTCTATGAAAAGTTATATGATTCTTTCTATTCTTGTTTTAAAATACTGTTTACGGTCGGTACGTATGTCATTTGTGGTTCAAAAATTTAACAAATTGTTATTTCTGTGACAAGTGTTCTATACAGTGAGTTAGGTGCCCTCTTATTTATACCTCTATATTTAATCGAATATATATATACATAGATATACTTCCCAGAGGAAGCCTGAAAACCGGCAAATTGCTAAAGTTTTAACTTTTTATAGACAGATTTAAATAATAGGAAACTCTCTAGTCAGCCGTGACTACAGACCACATAAAGGCCGTGACTATGGGACCTATAAAGGGCTCGAAACGTTGGTTTTTATGAAAACAAATTATACGCGATTCAGATCCGAAAAACTCGTTTTATTTCCTATGTGTAACATTGACAAAAACAATTGTTTTATTTTAATGTTGTATGTTTTGCGTTGAAGACTATTTTATTTATTTATTTTATTAATTTAAGGACAGTAAAATTAAACTAACATTCAAAAAATGAAAAGTATACGAAGAGTCCAGTCAAACTTAGCTATTTATTGCCCCATATGTATTCTTCCATGAAAACAATTAATATTATTGAGAGATAAATTTTGGTCAAACTATATGACGTGGCTATTAAAATATTATTATCTGTACGTTGTCGACATCACGCGAGAGCATTATGATTGTGGTAGGCTCACATATTTTGTTGGATTTATTCAGACGTATGCGAAATGGTGCAATACTATTTAGTAGTGGTAGGTGGTAGGCGCATTGAACCGCCTGTATATATATACCGATATAGCACGCTTAGAGCAATATTGTCTAATGCTTCACCGACATTCCAGTACAAACATGAAGACCATTGTAAGTGATAGTGGCTGTGATTTGAAAAAAAGTTAATCGATAAATAGAAATGACTTTCTAAAGATTGTGTAGTGATAATAATTGCAGTTTAAGATCGATTTTGTGATTTTTTCTTTTCTTTGTACACAAAAAATAAGTTAACTTTCAGAGTTGGTGGAAAGAAAGTTTGTGAGTGTTTATTTAAATAAAGTTCAAGAAGACCGTTTTTAATTGCAGGTACTCTTTGCCCTTATCGCCGTTGCGTTCGCAGCTCCTCAGCAGGGAAGTGAAATTCCAATTTTAAAACAAGAGAGCGAAGTGAACCCAGATTCGTATTCGTGGTCATACGAGACTGGAAACGGTATCGCGGCGGAGGAGCGTGGCGCGTTGAAGAATGTCGGTGCAGAAGAGCCAGCTCTGGATGTCCAAGGCCAGTTCAAGTACACGGCTGATGACGGTAGCAACATTGTGCTGACCTACATCGCCAACGAAAATGGATTCCAACCCCAGGGTGCTCATCTCCCCACTCCTCCTCCAATCCCCGCGGCCATTCAGCGCGCTCTTGACTACCTCGCTACAGCGCCTCCCCAACCAGAGCAAAGGCGCTAGACTTTAGCTCTTATAGCAACATTTCTTGCCTATTTAGTTATACATTAACACTTCAATGTGCTTTAACGATTACAAGCGGTGCCTACCTCTAAAAGAGAGATCACTATTGTCAACAAATTAATGACTTATTAGTTCAAAAACATGAGTGGAAAACGTTATGACGTTAGTCCTTATCTGTATGATTATTATGTTCGTTCATGGTGTGAATTCACATTGAGTTTAAAAGTATCATAAACATTGGAGTATTTGCTATATCGGAAAGATATTTATTAGAATGGGCGATATTCAAAATATTCCAATATTTATGACGATTGGCTTTGTTATTCTTTTTAGACCGAATTTTGTACATAAATAATATTGAATTTAATACGATTTTTATTATTAGATAATGTACCAAATCAAGAAACATAGAGCTAAGCAGCAAATTATTCAATTTATGAAGTTTAATCGATTTAGAGCTTTTTAAAGAATTTCAATCGTGAGAAATTGATTCAGTTTTTATTTTTATATTTATGCAAAATATCGATATTATTATAGCTAATTATACATTTTTATCATCTAATTTAGTTACTGAAGGAAATTGAAATAGAAACACAGTCACCGAATCGAGAAAGTAAACAATTAGTTTTATTCATGTCATTTTACAAAATATTTATATATTGGATTACAATTTATGTCCAAAAGGATTCATGATGATTCGATTTTAAATAAAAGTGACACATTTAAAATATAACAAATTACAGGCCACGGTAAAAACATTGTTCTGATAAATTTTTATTTAACTTTACAAGAACTATTGCTGAATTACTTACTAACAACCTCCCAGGACTATATATCTTTTTTAATTTTTAAGGTTTTGGCAACGCCATCAGCCTAATTATGTTTCTGTAAATATGGCCGCCACAAAGAGGATAGGCAATTTGAGGCGGTGTGCTTGGATTGATTCGGGATTCCCTAAAACGGATACGAATACGATTCCCTAGAACGGGTATTTTAGTTCGACATTCGTATAATTTCGCGTTTTAATCTTCGATTAAGGCACAGTAGCACTATCCTATTCCACTTTAAACTAGGTTTCACAAAATAATTGAAAGTCAAAATAAAAACGAGACTTTTCCCTCCTAAAGGTCCAGAGCGAATCTCCCAGGACTATATTAGTAATATCATAAACAACAAGTTTTGTTCTAGACTTTTTACAAAACATAATTAATTTTACCAATAATAAATTCTTAAGTTTTTATTGTACTATTTCACATGTTTGAGATCTGTAATTGGTAGTAAGATAGGTTCAAACTTGCAAACATCCTCCCAACGATCCTCAATCTCGCTTCAATGTTTTGGATTCGTCTGATATTTTCGATAGCGCTTTCTTTTCTTACCTAGTCATCACCGTTTAGGGCGATCTATTAAATATTTTTATTTTTGTATGAAACTAAAATCTGATGACAGTCATATTCAAAACAAAACAGAAGTTGTTATCGATGATGTCAATAATATAGTCCTGCAAGGTTGATAATATTTTACAAATAACCCGTATACAAATTAGTTATTTAAAGCTATTTTACAATAGGCTCCGTATTGATGGCGAAGGAACACTTGAAAGTACTGATTACGTTTTAACGTTAAATTACACACAAAGAAATTTGCGTGCATCTATTACTTCAGATGAAAATTAAACAATTAAAAAAAGTGTTTTACACCACCTAGCGTCTTTTTTTGGTATTAATTTATGAACATTTGATTTCCACCTCACACATGCTTATCGATTAGTCATTAAAAGCGAACAAAAACTGCGCTCAAAACCCAAGAGATGGCGTATCAAGCAATTTGTTAGGCAATTTACATTCCTATTGAACGCGCTATTGAATTGAAACGCGCGACTTGTGTTTTGGCTCGGATAACTTTGTACGTTATTAAATTCACATAAAGTTCATTACGCTATGCTCACAGAAATTCGCTACGGATATGCAAACCATATTTGTGTTGCAAAAACGAGCGATTCATTCTGTGTACCGTTTAGGTTCTCGGGTTTCTCTCAACGAAAAGTTTATGAGACTGGTATCCTGACTGTCGCATCACAGTACTTTTATTGAAATATTATGAATGCTCGTAAAAATAAACATAATTTCATTAAGAAGTAAGATGTCCATAATATTAACCTTAGAACTAAGTCCACACTCATGGTACCACGATTTCGTTTAAGTAAGGTAAACGATTCTTTTATGGGGAACTGTATACGTTTTTATGATAAGATTCCGATGCATATATTAAGATTACCATTTCTTAAGTTTAAAACTTACATTACAAGTATTTTAATTGAAAAGTAATGTTACAAAATTGTGGAGTATGTGTTAGAAAAGATGTATGGAAAGACAACATGAGTCTAGATTGATGAGACACAATTTTGATTCAAAGCGTATTCCATAGTATTCCAAGTTTATTTGAAAAGAGCAATCCTTAGAGTTTCTTGCTCGTTCTTCTCAGGGAAGTCAGCGCAGTAGCGAGCAGTAGCTAAAAAAATGACGTTTTGAAGTGTAAAATATTTTACCTATGGAATAAATGATTATTTTGACTTTGATTTTGCTTGCAAGGCGCTGCCGTTACGCGGTAATATAAATTGAGTTCAGTTTCGCTAAGATAAAAACTTTTCCAGTATTTCAACGGCTAGCACTGTGGACTTACGAGTAATATAGGTAATTGAACGAAAATCGTGCTCAAGAGATATCTTATGTAGGTTGCTACATAGTAAACGAGAAGATGATACAAGTGTGGTCTATGCTCTAACCTGTTTAGTTCATACTAAAGTACTATCCTTTGTTATTTAGGCCATCAAGACCAAGCAGTTATCATAGGTAAATGATCATACAGGTACGATGATGACGTACGAGTACGTACGACTAAATTTTTCAACAACACACGTTAGACATGTGCGTATCGTATGGCCTAGATACACGAGATAGCTTTCGCTATGCTGTCGAATTGCTGGAACAATACATATCCCAACTAACAGGCATACTTTATTAATAAAATATTATTCAAGGCGCATATGTTTGAAAATCTCCAATATAGCAATTGATGTAGTCGATAATTTGCATTTTGTTAGTGTTCATTACTTAATAATAATTGTAAATAAATTTCAAAAAATCATATTGTAATAGTGCATAATAACATGATGTCGTACTTACTTAAACGTCTGCCATGTTGCGTGTCACGTGTATTTCTGGGTCCACTGAAATTCGGCGTCGTAGCAATTTCAGTGATACGTTTTCAAACTGAGTGTATGACGAATTCTGTAACAGTACATTGTGTCATGTTCATAATTTATTTGTTACATAATTATTACATGATAAACTGCCTAGAGAAATATTTGTATAGCCTACATTTATTTCTCTCGTCAGTTTGGATGTAATTTGTGGTTGTCTATGTGTGTGTCCTTGGTTATGTGTCCATGATACGTGGTTTCCCTAGTGCGGGGCTATGAGTGTGTGCGTATTATTGTGTGCGCATTATGATATTTTTTTGTTTCAGGTATTTATTCCTACTTTATTGATTATAGTGAGGCATACTGAGCTTCCATTAAATCTCGTCTTTTAATCGTAACTTATTAGGTCCAGAGAAGACCATATTTGCTACCATGCTTTAGTGGAACGTACCCGGATCAGAGCGGAACAAAGACTGATAGCAATAAAGGCTGGAACCAGACTAACAGATGTTGGCTTGTGCAGTTAATTTGAGTCTAATGGTATAGTAGCAGCAGAGCTCCCTGTCAAAGACTTCGTTCAGGGAAGTTCTACTGTGTGAGCTTTATTGCGATCTGGTTTTGAAGGGTGAGGGTACTGGTGAAGTTACAGGTACATGAGACTTTCCGACTTATGTCTCAGGGTGATGTGCGCAGTGGCAGGAACCCCTCAGATCTTTGTGATTTAAAGCTCCGAATGGCACTGCAACTGTTATGGGCCGACGTGTCGCTTATCAACAGGCGCACGACTTGTTCGTCGCATCACTTAGAATCATAAAAAAGTAAAGAAAAGTAAAAATCCTGGCCAACAAAATATAATAAAATATAAATTTAAGTTAATGCTTAAGTTACTTAAAAATAGGTAAATAGAATTAAGGGTAGACTGTAACAATGGGGCTGGCATTGTCGCTAAGCAATAAAAGCTCGAGTTAAATAAAGATTAAAAAATGTATTAGGTATTGTAGTAGTATAATGTGTGTACTCTGTGGTGATTTTGATTAAATAATAATGTGTCAATCACATCAATTACCTGGTCGCTAAGTAGGAAATTCCCATCACTATGAGTTACTAGAGGAACGGAATTCAGTACCTATTTAGAAAAGTTAATTTTCCAAATTAATCCTATTGGGGATTGAACTCTTGACCTCCACCACTGAGCAAGCCATTAAGCCACCGAGATCGTCAATAAATTTTTTTTATTCTGTAATATTACGTATACGTGTATGTATTTAAAGTCTATTCAGTCGAAATAAGAGTACCATGTCACATATGGGAACATATATCGTTATTCAATTGAGGCTATCAGCTCAAAAGTGGTGTAACCCAAATTCAGTTTTTTTTGTACAATATTACTAAATTATAATTGTTTTATATTTCGATGCTATTTTCATGTATAAAAATATTTAATTGTTAACTTTTTTATACACGAAAATAGCATTCAAATACAGAATAATTATGTACTTTAGTATCATTAACCTACTTTAAAACAGGAGGTTCTCAATTCGACTGTGTTCTTTTTTGTATGTATGTTACGCGATAACTATTTGTGAACCGATTTTGATATTTCTTTTTTTGTTGGGAAGAGTAGTGACCTCAGTAGTGAGTCCATTTAAATTTAAAGGAAATATTCCACCTCTAAGGGTTGCAAACTAGGGGATGAATCTGGTTTCGAGCACTTTTCGGTAACGAATTTCAATAAAACTTGGCAAATAGATGTAATTCCACGAACTTTTGAGGTCGGTTTTTAGTACGTAGTAGTCTCAGTACAGACCGATATTATTTGAAGTAATATTCCAGAAAAAAAAAATTAATGTGCGTTACACCACTTGCGCTGATAACCTCAATTTTGCATCAATTTTACTCCGATCTGACAAAGTAGTTGTATTAAAATGTCGATAATACGAAAAAAAATGACGTAAAAATATTCGTATCACTTCGACTACAAAATAAGTAAAACAATAGATATTTTTGTTACTTATTATTCGTGATATTGAGCAAACAGTTCGTCTGACCCTGGTGACCTATTGTGGAGGTGGTAATAATAGCCGTTGACATTTAAATGAAGTAACTAGTTTTAGATGCTTGAGGCCGATATTTACGACGTAGTCATTTAATGTCTTGTTTCTCAGATGCTCGCTCATCACTATGCTGAAGGTTGAATAGGATGTACTTAATTTAGACTTGATATTTGGTTAATGGATGTACTAGTCTGTTTTGGGATCCTTCAAGTTTGAAAAAATCCTTAGCAATGCATTTACGTAAATAGGTTATAAGTAGCAATAGAGCTCCTTGTGAAAGAGTTCGTTCAGGAAAGTACCTTATCTACTTCTACCGCCAAGCAGTAATGTGAGCATTACAGGCACATGGGACTTTATAACTTATGTCTCAGGGTGACAGGCGCAGTGGCAGTGCCCCTCAGGTCTTTAAACCTTTTTAAAAATTTACAATACCTTATTGTCGCACTAATTATTTTAAGAATAGGTTCCTTGTACGGGCTGTACACAATTAAATAATGCATATCAAGAAATTAATATATTTGAAAATAAGCCATTCCGGTTCAAATCTGCCATTAGCAAGCTTTTATTAAGATAATTAGTAATTGATCGTAGGAATTTTTCTTAGTGTTGGATCGATA